AACAGGAAGTAATACAATCCTAAGTATTTTCCGGGTTTTAGGACTCATTACCTCACCAATCTATTTATATCAAAGAAGGCTCTTACCTCATTATCAGCTTGTTATGTTCTGCCTGGACGAGAAAACTGTCAGTGCCAAAAATATGTCCATGTGAATGGTATTGGAGTGAAATCAATTGCATTGCTTTGCAGTTATTTGATCACATACAGTATGTTTCGGCCTTTAATTAAAAACGTTAAATCTTTTCAGTACAAAATTCATTTTTTAAATGAATGACTCTCCTGGTTGATATAAAACACTGAGGGAATTTTTGTATGTAATGCAGGCATTTAGTGACCTCTGTTTATAACAAAGTAAGAGCTAAAGCATAAAATCTTCTCCAAAAACACAAAAGCTCTCAAGGCAAAGTTGAACATTGGTGTTATTTATTATCAGTTAAAAAAGTGTCTCTTTCTTTGCAAAAGTTGTTTATGACTGACAAACACAAAGTGAGGAAGGAGGGTGACGAAGGAAAAAGATAGGGTGGGTTTCTCTTGACATTGAGGTGACTAACAGGAAAACAACATGGAGCCACTGGGCGGACAGACGGATGGATGCCGAGGCGTTCCCATTTGGCCACTCATGGTTTACCGCTGCTTTCTTGTCTTCTGCTCTCCAGCTTCCGTCATCTATAAGCCTGGGTGATGCAAAAAGAGAGGAAGAAGTGATGGAGGTTGATGGTACAGGGAGAAAGTCAGACTAGTCTGCAGGAGATGAAAGGAGGGAGGCAACAGGCAGCACAAATGGGCTTTAACTGAGGCGTATGTGGTGACTCAGTGGGCAAAGTAGCTGCACCCAACCAGAGATGTGACGAACCAAAGTCGCCGCAGTTTAAAGAGCTGTTACAACTTAAAAAGTGGTGACCTGCAGCGCTCCAGGATTTAAACTGATCTTCGGTTCGAAGGACAAAATAAAAATGATAAATCAAATGTAGGTCTGATACGAAAAGCTGTATTGAAGTGAGCTTGTATAATTGTCTGAGAAGGAAACAGGTCTAACATTACATTGTCTCGCAGTATTGCAGTTGTTCAATTGTCATCATAGCTATACTTTGGTAACAAGTTTTGTGAATTAAACTGGCTGAAAAAGAAATGTTGGGGTGTTGATGATGTGCGAATGATCCAATCTCCCAAAAGTACGCACCGACTCATGAAAAGGAGGTTATCATCAGATTGGAACAAGCAATTTATGATGATATGTCTGTGGAGATAAGAGAGTTTAGTAAATCTGACTTGAAGCACTGTACAATATGAACAAACAACAGAGAAAAACCATAGTAATATTTGCTAAATGGACAGCATTCATACTGCGCTTTTCCAGTTTTTAAGACCCTCACAATAGCTTTTTCATATCCCATTCAGCATTTACCCATTTACACTGAGGCAGAGGCTGGCATATGATGTGGCACCTGCTCGGGGAAATTCACACACATTCACACACTATTCGCCTTTAGGATCAATTAAGTGTAAATTATGTTTACTGCTGGGGATCGAACAACCTACCTCGTAATCATCTATTAATGTATTGTCTCATTAATGTTAAACCCCAAGGTCCCCGTCGGCGGGGATCCTGTTTTTTTTTTTTCACGACACTGTGTCTCAGGGGATCTTAATATTTAAGAACCTATTAATGTGTTATACCAGATTAACGGAAATAATCTCAGCTAACTGACGATACAAACAATTTTTACCAAAACAAAACACAAGTCTCATAAGAAGCATCTAAATGACCCCTTAGCGAAAAATGCTAATGGACATTGGCACAGAACTCAAGATAAAAGTACCCTTATTACTTATCGTAGCTGCACATACAAGATATCCGATTAAAGCTGAGGTTCCACAGATTATTTAGGTATATAGTATCATCACTGCTGATCCGGACTCGTGAAAGGGGAAGCAAATATACAGACATCACAACACGTACCTTTACGGAGCTTCTAGGGAGATCGTCTCACCGTAGCTGTCTATCTGATCAAAAGACGTGTTCAATGGCATTAAAATGAGAAAAACGCGGCTGAATCGGTTAATCCATAGGTTTTTAACATCTCTGTATAACAAAATTATTTCATTTATAATCCATAATTCCATTTGTATGTAAAAATCGGAGAGCAAAAGTTAGCTGCTAATGGTAGCTGCTGCTTCCGGTCTAGGATATGCGGCAGTCTAACACACACACATTATCAAATAAGGACTATGTGGGAGGTCCCCTCGATTCCATTGGCTCTGACGGTCAGAAAGAGATGTCACATGTCAAAATCCAGCAAGGGGGGCCAGAGATATGGAAAATCCGCCCAAATGGCCCCAGAAGAGTTTTTTTTGGTGCTAAATCTGTCTAAAAAGGTCAAATATCACTTGTTTTGCATCAATCTTGATACAGGGTACTTATTATATGTTGTACTTTGGATTCCTAAAGCTTTTAGTCTACTAACCCATCATCCAAGGTTAGTTTTCACCAGTGGCGACTGGTCATTAGGGGCACAGCCCCACCTAGTGTCAGCAGAAAGTATTAAAATAATGATTACAATAAAATGCAAAAAATAAATTAAAATAAATATAAAATATATTTTAAGATCATGTTTAATCATCTGATTCGTCTGTACATTGCTGTTTTAGTATGTGTTCTTCTAATTAGTGTTTACAGTGTGTGCATATTGAGCTGTTTAGAGCCATGTGGGACAAAACCCGATCCTGCCCCTCCCTCTCACTGTCTAAGTGAACGGTGACTGTAAAAACTACACTGCGCATGCTGAGAGTATTTTCCTATTTAATGTGTGTGACAAAAAATAATGACCATAGGGGCATAGAGCTGCCATCCCCACCATACGTCATCTCACATAATTCAGAGCTAATTGGCTGTAAGTACGTGTGCCGCGAAAAGTGTGGTGTGTGAAGAGGAGGAGAGAGACGCGTCCTAAAACCAGGAAGTAAGCTGCGCATGGCTTCCCTCCACAAAAAAGCAATGAGATTTCTCCATAGGATTTTAGAAAATAGCTCAAAATAAGATCTGTGGGAAACAAACCTGTTAGATAAATGCACGTTTTGTTCAGCCGGATAATATCCACATGTCTACCCTACTTTTATAATTTTCGAATCATAAATCCATCATTTAGATTTATGATAGACTTTTGAAACTACAAGAAGATAAGGAGGACTTTCACAAAAAAGTTATAGAGATTTTTGTCCAGAAGGATAGGCAAATGGACTTCATCTTCAAGTCAAGACCACCATTTTATTGAAAATGGGATCTTACTAAGAGAGAACAATTCAAATTCAATTTAAATGATAAAATTACATTTTTTGGGTATGCTTCTGTTGAACTGTCTGTTTAAAATTAATTGAAGCATCAGACAAAAAAAGCTTTTGAAAATAATATTATATTTTGATTTAGGTCAAAATATAATATGTAAACCTGAAGAGTCAGCGCCAGTGCCTCGCTAGCCATGAACCTCTCTGCAGAAGCTTATATATAGACATCTGAGTTTTTTGTGCCCCACCACTTTTGTACATATAGAAACGCCACTGGTTTTCACTATAAGTACAACATATGTTTTGGACGGACACTATAATTTACAGTTTTTTACCATGTTCAATCTGAATTTTCTTTAAAATAAAAAACATCTATATTGAATCTGACTTTTCTACATCCAACTCACAGGTTTATCATTACTTTGAAAAAAAAAATTATTAATGTAACCCTTTTAGAAGGGAAGATATGGTAATTTTTTTCTGGGAATGTCATTTTCGAGCCTGAAACCTGAAAAACAGGTTCGGGGTTTAACAGGTTTAAGAACTATAAATAAAGACAAGGTAAGAAAGGGAGAGTAGAGAGACAGAGGGATAAAGGAACATATACATAATCAATGGGAGACAAAAATCGATTAAGAATGTTTTGGCTTTAATTGGAAAAAATACGTAATGCTTGTTCGTGTTAACAAGCACGGACAATGTGGAGACAAAGATCAGGTAAGACACCTCCACACACACACACACACACACGCACACGCACACACACACACACACACACACACACACACACACACACACACACACACACACACACACACACACACACACACACACACACACACACACACACACACACACACACACACAGTAACCCCATTTCACCCAGAATCTTTGTGACTCACCCTATACAGTAAATGTTTTAACAAACCAGTACCCAAACACACACACACACACACACACACACACACACACACACACACCACACACACACACACACACACACACACACACACACACACACACACACACACACACACACACACACACACACACACACACACACACACACACACACACACACACACACACACACTAGGGGTTTCACCAACTAATCGACTAGTCGACTACCTTTACCACTAGTCGGCGCTGTAGGCCCTAGTCAACTAGTCGTGAAAAAAATGGAGGTAAACGAGGTGCTGCAAAATGCTTCAAAACACGTCCGACATTCTTATGTATGGTAGTACTTCAACAAAGATGTAACCAACTCCACAGTGAAGTGTCAGTTGTGTACAGCTGTACTGAAGTACAACAAAAATACATCTGCTATGAGCAACCATCTGAAGATGAGACACCCGCTGCCGACAGCTAGCACTAGCAGTAATGCTAGCACCAGTGAGCAACGGACCGGCGTCAGCACTGGACAGAGGCAGACGAGCAGCAAGACAAAACGGGTCTACAGTGATGCGGATGATGAGCTACGGGATTACTGCCAGCGGACACTGCATATCCCCACAATGGATAACCCACTGGAGTGGTGGGCAGAAAATGTGCACCGCGTCCCCCGTTTAGCCAAGCTTTCGAGGAGCTACCTGGCTATTCCAGCCACAGGCACCCCGAGTGAGAGGGTTTTTTCCCTAGCAGGCAACACTGTCACCCGAAAGCGGTCAAGCCTCCTTCCCTCACATGTCGAAATTATGAGATAAAAAGTCATAATAATGAGATAAAAAGTCATAATTATGAGATAAGAAAGTCGAAATAATGAGATAAAAAGTCATAATTATGAGATAAGAAGTGCGCATGCGCTGCAGTGGCGCTGTCTTCAAAGGTCCCTTCATCACCTTGCTGCTCTCCACCATGCAAACGGCATCTAGTCCTAAATAAGGTGACTTTTGTAAATGTTAGATGTTATATAGCCTATATTGCAGCTAAACTACAACAATGCAGTTCATAGCTTTGACATTACCTGTTATGAACTATAATATATAGGCCTATGCCTATCGTTTTGTGGTAACGTTCACGCCACTAATGACAATAGTGTAGGCATACTGCTGCTGCTAGCCTAACTAACCCGTAAATGTTATCTCAGCTACGGTACATACACCACTAATTATAGTAGCCTACAGTACATGTAACGCAGTGGTTAAAAAGTCATGCGTTAATTGTACATTGCACTGTCGTTCTTTATCGCTTTTCAGTTTGCTATTCTGGGGGAAATGCTAATGCCATAGCGATTATTCAGTAACATCACCAAACCGAAGTGGTACAGTCAGATAGCATGGATAGCATTCATTATGCATGTGTTGAACTTTCCTGTCGGCTCCCAGACCGTAGTCGAGGAAACAGGGGATTACTCTGTGGTCTCCCAGGGCCGAAGCAACAAGCTTCAGGTTCAATAATATCGAAATGACTGGAGAGAGGCCGTTGCATTTGTTTAGTTCTTCTTGTTACACAAAATACTTCACAGACCTATATTTTCTGCTGCTTCGTTTTACTTCCAGAAACATAAAAACGCTCGCTCACTCTCGCACCATGCATGCACACACACACACACACACACACACACACACACACACACACACACACACACACACACACACACACACACACACACACACACACACACACACACACACACACACACACCACACACACACACACACACACACACACACATAACCAAGAGTCCTATTTTAAGTATTACAAGATCAATAAAATCTAATAAAATGAAATAATGCTCCCCTTCCTCCTTAGTTGGAGAATTTGGAGTATAGTTTATAGTGTGGTGACACGTTATTGGACATAATTCACCTCTCGTATTGTGTTGCCACACGGACCCTTTAGTGGGAACACCTGTAGCGTTAGCTTCCATTCCTGCTAGCTCGTCAAGCAGAGCAGTTCATGCGATAACCTCTCTGTTATTAATGGCTAATAAAGATTGGAACTCTGTTCTTAATACACCGCCTCCGACTCACTTTTCCTGGCACTACAATAGTCTTATTTAAACATGACATTTAAAGGTAGGGTAGGTAAGTTTGAGAAACCGGCTCGAGATACGCTTTTTGTTATAGTCCATGGAATGCTCTTAACATCCCGATAGCAATGAATATCTTAAGTGCTTTGACAATAAATCCATTAAAAAAATGTATCTGTGGAAGCCGTGGCGCTGTAAAAAGCACGACCAATCATTTTAGCCGGCCCGGCTAAAATAACTGGATGGCCTACCTGCCTGTCAGCCTTCCATCTGTGCACAAACTTATCTCGTGTCCTCATTGGTCATGTGCGCGTTCGTGTGTGTTGGAGGAGGGGATCTATAAGGAAGTGGCAGATTTTCTCCGGTTGTGTATTTTCAAATTCTAGCGATCTCGAGCAGGTTTCTCAAACTTACACAACCTACCTTTAATGAGAAGATGCTTGAATACCAAAACGACAAACAAAAACGATTTTGTAAAAATCAACTTTAAAAATCAAATGTATTTAAGGTTACATTTAAGCTTTCATTTCATTCAACAGAGGTGGAGAGGTTTTTTCAACTGTCACAAGATGGACGAGCTATCTGACTATTTAAGGTCACGACATGTACCTGAGGAAGACATACAGCGAATGGAACAGGAGAAGGTAGTTTATATATATTTTGTTTTTATATTTCTGAACATTTCTTGTTATTGTAGTAAAGTGTCTTTATTACATGTAGGCCTACAGTACTTTGGCTCGACCAAAAATCGTTTTTAAATTTGCTCTATAAATGACACTTGATTTGATTTGATTTGATACAGGAAATGCTTAATTTGGACAATTCACAAATAAACATTAAAAAACCCAAAGTTTGGAAGAGCTTTGAAAATAATACCTGGTGCTGTGTATGCAGGTTTTTCATTGTTGTAATTTAATTCACTTGACCTAAGAATTCTTGATATATTTCTTCATTTTAGATGGATTCCAGTGTCATAACTCTCATGACAGATGACCAGCTGAGAGAGTATCTGCCATCCTATGGTGATCGACTGGCTGTTTTTGGATACTGTAGACGGAAGGAAAAAGAACCCACGAGTCGCAAGTCAAAGCTCTTTGAGCGACTTAGAGGAAAGCTCTCAAGAAACAAAGGTGATCATGTGTCTGAGACAGACCATCAAACCGCTCCAAAGAATGCTCAGAAGAATCAAAGAAAGATTGAAATTGGATGGGTGCATTTCAGAGAAGGGGAATTTGTGCAGGTACGCACCAAAAAGGGTGGGGGGACCAGAAAAGAGAGTGTCATGAAGGACAGTACAAAACAGAACCTAATTGAAAAGGCTGTGCAGTTGTTTTTTCCAGATGGAAAAAATGCAGAGGGGAGCCTTACTGATTTTGACATTGATTTAACGGACTTTCAGCGGCATTCATTAGAGGATAGTATCACAGTCAAGGAACTGTATGAAAAGACAAAATTACCTCTTACGTTTCTATTTAACAACCAAGAAGAGAGACATTGCCAGTGACATAAATCTGGTGGAAAACAATAGTGATGCAACTGCTCAAGAAGGTGAAAACACACATGCCAGACCTGATATCTATCACCTCTCTACAGACACATCTGTAAGAGATCCGGTGGAGATAAGGACTTCAGATGTCATTTTTATTGGAAGCAGCACAGTTTTTGCAAATGAAAACAGTGATAGTGATTCCCTTCTTTACACCACAGTCAACCCAACTGATGCATCCAGTTTGCAAGAACATGAAACACTGTTTCATGTCGGTGCTTTAGATGATAGTGGCATTGTAACTTTCCGCACAGACAGCATCTCTCTGATGGAGTACTCCAGTCTTGATGATACATTGCCTCTCTCTACGGAACTGTCTATTGAATCATCCATGCCTCCTTCAATGGATATGTTTCAGGAACAAGCCAATCAGAGAGAAAGAGTGAAGAAAATTATTGTTCTTCATCGTGGACAGATTCTCAGAGAACTTATTCTAGTGTTTTCTGAGGAAAATATCATGGAGAATGACTTTCACTTCCAAGTTATTCTTCCCGATGGAAAGCTTGAAAAAGCTGTGGATGATGGAGGTGTTATGAGGGATATACTGTCCGAATTTTGGAATGACTTTTATGAGCAGTGCACTATGGGAAATGGCTTCAAAGTGCCATACCTGCGTCATGATTTTGGTAAACAAGAATGGGAAAGTGTAGGCCGAATAATCACATTTGGCTGGCAAAAAGAGAAGTACCTTCCTGTTAAACTTTCACCTGTACTTCTGGAGCAAGCTGTTTTGGGCTTTGTTGAGTGATCTTGTGGACAGCTTTCTCAAGTATGTGTCAGAGTCTGAGCGGGTGATCTTTGAATCTTGTCGTTCAGATTTTGAAGGTGTGGACCAAGAAGAATTGTTGGAAATCATGGATATCCACAACTGCCGGCGGCTTCCAACAGCAGATAACTTTGAGCAAATCTTGAAGGAGATTGCTCACCAAAAACTGATTCAAGAGCCTGCTTTTGTGATTGAACAGTGGAACAACACACTTGCACCTCTTAGATCAGAGCTGAAAGGGATTGCAGCAGTCTATGAAGAGCTACAACCAACATCAAGAAAGATCATGAGATCAATGACTTACCCCAGTACACAGAATGCCCAGGAGAAACAAATGGTCAAGTATGTTAGTGCATATCTTAGAGAGTCAGACACCCAGCACCTCTCCCTTTTCCTCAGATTTTGCACAGGATCAGATTTGTTCACAGGAAAGAGCATCACTGTCAGCTTCACACAACTTCAGGGATTTCAAAGAAGACCTGTTGCTCATACATGTGGCTGTTACTTGGAGTTGCCAGTCAGTTATGACCACTACCCAGATTTTCGACATGAAATGAACAAAGTCTTAGATAGCAACGTGTGGGTAATGGATATTGTCTAAGATACAAAGATTTCAGCTTACAGCAACTAGACTGCAATCAGAGGTTCACGTTTAGGATTTGTAGGTTTTCCAGATTATTGTGAAGGAAGTAATCCAGCTTGTTTAACCTTCCTGAGTGTCACCGCATCAACATCTTGTCAATATTTCTTTACTGCTTTTAGCCACTTTTGTTGAACATTGTTTTCAGTTTAAGAACATGTTTACGTTTCAATGCAGATAACTTTCTGTGAATACCTCAGTTAAGGAAGTAGTTTAAGATTGATGGTTTATATTGCTAGACTTCACTAATAACCTGAGTCTAAATCAGTTATTTCAGACAACAATGTATATATTCCTTTGTTAAGCACTATTCTATTCAGATGCTGTTCTTGTTATTTACCAAAAGACAGTTTGGCATTTAAACCACTCATAAACGTATCGATGGATTACGATTAAAGGCTGCTGATACTGTAGCAAGTTAGATTAAAATGCAGTCAAAATGAAAACAGCAATTTTGATTTCAGAGGTTTATTGAAGTCTGCCAGCTGATTGGTTGGATTCAGATAAATGGAGCATGAATGAAAACAGCAATTTTGTATGCTATCTGTTTAAATAATTGAATAAATAATTATATTAATACATGTGTGTATTTTGCATTTGTATCCTGTTTTTACACATAGTCAATCTAAGGGAAACACATGACTTTGTTTGTGTGTACATACAAATATATGTACTGAGAATATTTGGTACATATTTGACGTGTCTCAAACAGCTACAATTATATTTTCATTCATCACAGGTTAAAGTATATCATAATTCTGACAATTGCAATCAGTATATATATTTCAATTTGTTCTGGAATGAAACAGGAAACAAATACACATTTCTGAAATATAAATTGTGACACTGCCCCAGGAAAGTTAATGATCCAGTTCATTGTTCATCAGTTGTCTGAGTGTGATATACAGGTTAACAGTTTCAAACACATCATTTGTTAATTTCAGATTATACTCTGACATTAGATCCACACAGATATGGAACACATCTTCATCACATGGGAAGTCCTTGAACACACACTCATCAAGGCAGACTTGAACTTTCTCCAGGTCCACGTGGTGCAAACAATCTCTGCCTCCATACAGATGAGGGACTGCATGCAATATGGAGGGACGTCCATGGGGTGATCGTGAGTTATGGACTTGACGGACTCTGTGATTGTTCCAAGTCAATACAACCTCATTAAGTTCTTCCTAGGAGGCAAATAATATTCAGTCAAATAGAATGTATAAAAATACTGGGCAGTGGTGATTACTGCCTTAGTCAAGTATACTCCTGACCCATGGTTTGTTATATTTGTGAGATGTGTCTTCTAGTTGTACTATGGTAGGTTGGCACAATCATATTAATAACTGTAAAATGTAAATTGCAGCAGTGCAACTAATGTTATATCTTAACAGCTATAAAAATGTGGTGGATAAACCCGAAAATAAACCCTACTTATTTGACACAGCTACTCTGAATACCCACATATTTTTTGTTAGCCAGAAACAATAACTTATTATTCACTCTCTCCACGGAAAACAGGCAATTTCTATTTTACACATGGTCATTTGTGGCTCTTTAAAAATATTCACCACATTCAACATTTATTTATTTCATAATGTGACAAGTACCTGTATTATTTGTAGAAAGCAGAACTGGATCAAGGACTTGTCCAAGAAGTTGTCTGAGAAGTAGCCATCTACACTCAGTTTGTCAAAAAGGTCCATCCAAAACTGGACACACTCACTTCGCAAGGTCAGCCACCATCGTTCAATACGTTGGTTTCCAGTGCTTGGACCAAAGGTTACATTGTCTGTTTCAGCTTGGTTCTCAGAAAAATGCAAAAACTGCTGCATTTCAGCCATATGGCCATTTTCTGTTCCTAAATCAAGTCTGAGTCTGGCAGGGCACCCACCAGCATTGATAACAGCATCAATAAAGTAGCCAGCGATGATCTTCGGGTCTTTGTTTGTTTTGTAAGCTTCAAGCCATATCATCTTTCTGGAAAACCCGTCAATGCATCCACTGATTGCAATTCCAAATGGCTTAAGCTTGTCGTAACCATCAATGTGCCATACATAGTTTGGACCACAGCTGTGGTAGATGCGCCTTCGCAGTCTGTTTCTTGACCTCAGATCAACACCTTCACCATCCAATAACTGTAGCAGTATTCGCACTGTTTCTCTGTCAGTCACAATTCCATGTAACCAACATTTTTGGTGCATCCATCTGTAACCATGACACTGACCAGATGTTTCCAGTTGCTGTTCAATGAAGGTTGCCACCTCAGCCACATCGGTTTTATTCTTTCGACGCCAGAGCTGCTTCTTGCTTAAAATCCTTTCAAGGGTGCGTTTGCTTAGTACAACTCCATGTGAATCAGCAAGCAAATTAAGTATTTCATCTGTTGTAAATCCACGTTTAAAGTAGTCCTCAATGTACTCACAATCCATTTCCGTATCAAGATAAATAGGAGAATTCGAGCCAAAGAGCTGCTAGTTTGTCTGTTGTGACAAAGTGTCTCTTTTTATCTCATAATTATGACTTTTTATCTCATTATTTCGACTTTCTTATCTCATAATTAAGACTTTTTATCTCATTATTATGACTTTTTATCTCATAATTTCGACTTTTTATCTCATAATTATGACTTTTTATCTCATAATTTCGACTTTTTTATCTCATTATTATGACTTTTTATCTCATAATTTCGACTTTTTTATCTCATAATTATGACTTTTTATCTCATTATTATGACTTTTTATCTCATAATTTCGACTTTTTTATCTCATTATTATGACTTTTTATCTCATAATTTCGACTTTTTTATCTCATAATTATGACTTTTGATGGGGATTTTATTTTTTTCAAGTGGCGGAAATGGGCTTCCATAGTAACTGTATGAGTTCCGATATAAAATACAGTTGTTCACCTCTCTTTGTGTGTCTTTATTATGACGTAACTACTAGTCGACTAGTCGACTGCTATTTTGAAAAACGTGTCGACTAGTAAATATTGGTAGTTGTGAAACCCCTAACACACACACACACACACACACACACACACATACACATACACACATACACACACACACACACACACACACACACACACACACACACACACACACACACAGACACACAGACACACACACACTTTCTGTGATCAATCAATTGTCTCTTGCTGTTCCCCTACCATACACACATGTTTCTCTATGTCAACAGCTCTAACAAGGGTTAAGCGGACCTCCTTCCTCTGCAGATGGGTATGTGATTCTGTGTTTAAGCAGCGGACGTTTTGTTGCTCGATAAATGACAACCACACAGCCGTAAAAACTATTATCTCTCAAACACGAAGGCGCTCTTCCCGGCATGCTGTGTGTTTTTTAACTTGTGCTCCCCTCTCGTCGGTAGAACAAATGCCAAGGTTTAATTCTCCATTTAACAACCAGCTGTTTCTCTGTGCTGGTGGAGATAAACCACATAGGCAGGCTGTTATCTGCAAGAGAAGATGATGCTATTTCCATCAAAAATATGAACATGTTTCCCAAGCTGAGATTCAAACTATAAGGTAGATTATTATAGTTATAAAGCTGTAGATTGATTGATTGATTGATTGATTGATTGATTGATTGATTGATTGATTGATTGATACATTTTATTTCAAACAAGTAAAATAAATAATTACAAAAAACAAAGAAATGTTGCAGTGCATAGTCACATAAGAGAAAACAAAATAAAGTGACATTGACAACAACAACAACAACAGCATTAGCAACATAAACAGTCCCACATCTAGTGTTCGAAAAGGAGTGAGAAGAAGTATAATTCATGTAATCTCACCCCCTTGTCCCTAAATGATTTATTTATAATCTATAAATAATTATAAATAATTATCATTATTATTATGAATTATTATTGTTATTATTATTATTATTATAACTATATACTATAGATGATTATAGACAGCTGGTAAAGGTTCAACAGTAGAGGATATAACAGGAGAAGTGATAACATATATTTCCTATGTATCTAAGAGGTAGAGAAAAGTTAAGAAAGAAGAGTTAAGAGTTACAAGAGATGTTAAAATAGTCTCTTTATGCAAAACAGGAATCAATTGGAATGTCAAATTCATGTTATTTTGTGTTTAAAATAATCAATCGATCAATGTTTATTGATTGATTAAAAGAACCAAGGTGTTAAAGGTTTTTAACACTAAAATAAATGTCCCTCATTTGGATTTAAATTCAGTGCCAGATGTTCTCATACATTATATATCATTTTTTCCAGGCATATTCAGGACAAAAGTATTCTATAACATTTTTAAAAAAAATCTACATTGTGTCTTTTTC